TTCTTTATGCTTTGACTCGAAACACAATAAATTAAAGCATAGTACATAAAATAATTCGAGACAAAACGAAAGAAAAAATAATTGCAATTATATTCTTGTAACAACTATCAAGGAAAGAGCCCTGAGTAAATGTTGTTATACATGAGTAATTTATTTTACGTAGCTAAAGTTATTAGTGTCAAGGTAGTGGAGTAATCTAAGACAAAAATGACAAAAGTGGTATTGTTAAACTCAGAATCTTCGAGGTGAATTACTGTTGCAATTAGTTTATGACTGACGAATTCTGCAACGCTAGTGGTATACAATCCTTGAGTAGAATAGTTTGCAAAATATGAGCTGTTTTATTTTCTTTATTTTAGATCGCTTTATAAACAACTAAGGTCATTAGCGACCGCTATTAATTTACATATCAATAACAGTAATTATATTTAATCACAATTATTAAACATAAAATTATACACCAGAGATTTATAAATTATAAAAGACAGAAATTATAAGTACAATAATTTCTACAATAATTTAAATCGTTTTATCAATACCAGCAATATTAAGATAGTTGAACATTGCTTTGTAACCTTCAATTGAATGAAATACTTCATATATATCGTTTTTGATGTCCAGAGGCTTTCTTAGTGAGAGAAGCTTAAACATTCAAGGATAATGTGAGATGTTTATAACATTCCACCACATTTTGGACAGGTATCTGGGTCGGTTTTATGTGAGCTTGTTACGAGCACACGCAGAGAACGCTGTTTGGATCGCAACATAAGTGTGTTCATTACGCCTTCCACGCGGTGTGGCAGGTCGCCCGCGGAATGGTGAGGGCGGAAGGCAGGAAGTGACCGCGTGATGTCCCATGCGTGTTTCCGGTTACGAGGCTCTGAATCCATCACGTTCAGGCGCGGCTCGTCATCAAAGGCTGTAAGGCGGAGCCTCTCCTATACAAATCGACCACTAAAAGAAATTTAAAAAAATATATTTATAAATGTATTTATTAATTACTAATGGATTTCTAAGTTACATTATATAATAATCACATCACAATTTTTACTACGTCAGTCCGTTAACTCCCTTCTGTAACGCATTTGAAGCTGTGGACAGGGAATAGAAAAGCGTTAGGCTCCCACTTCATTTCGTCATGAGGCCTGTGTAAAACAAGGAGGCGTGACGTCATGCACTCACTGCACTGTCATATGGCCCATTCACAATGCAAACGTAAATATAAGCGTAACGCATAGACATAAACATGAACATAAGTGATGGACTGAAGTATTCAGAATGTCTAACATAAACGTAAGCAAAATAAGAGTTTCTATTGGCTGCGAGACATTCTGATTTACTATTGGTTGGATGAGGGAATCGATTTCGAGTTATCGACTGTGTCCATGGCCCATATGGCGATAGTTCGTCTACCGACTTTGCTCCTCTGTCGATTCTCGGTTTTGAGTTAACGTACTCTGATTGGTTAATTTCTTATGTCTTACTTAAGCACAAGCACAGAAGCTTGAAGCTTGCAAGCTGTTAAGTTAACGTCTTACGTGTTGTCCTTATGCAAACGCATTGTGAATGACTCCGCTTATGGACGTAGTCCCAACTTTTATGTTAACGCCATACTTATGTTTATGTTTGCATTGTGAATAGGCCATTACCTTCAAGGGTATGCGCACCAGATAGCACTACTATGCAGCTAGGCGAGTAGCATTGTGCTGCAACTAGATTTCCCAATATGCGGTAGGAGCGCTACTGCTTTAAGTATGTATCGAAATGAATTTAATATGTATCGAAAAGGCGAAGTCTACAGGATTGTAGTATTCGTGATCGGAAGAGATTTTGTATAGAAATACAATGCGTGCAATTCAGTGCAATGCAATGCAATGAAATGTAATGCATTCGCAGCCTTCCCCATTTAGAAAGCCACGAGCCGCGACCGATCTCGTTGCCACACCTGACCCAAGAAATGTTACATCACACAAAGGCACACACAGCGTCCTCTCCAACGTGTTTGCATCAGCGTCAACGGAAAGACGAACGCGCGAGGAGTTAATTGAATTTTAAAAGAATACTCCTTTCTTATCGAGTACATTAATGTAAATAAATGTGCATTTCTCCGCACCATATTGACCTCACCTGGGTGACGAACCAGTCCCAGTACGTGAGCAGAGCATCGTAAGCAGTAAAATTGGAAACAATCGACTTATTAACGGTTATCTCTTGAAATGTAGAGGTTATAATAAAAGGTTATGAGATATGAAAGAGGCTTTTATAGATTCTTTCTCTTGCACTTCCTGTCTTCCTCGTCATTCTTTTTCGCACTTGCTTGGTAAGGGTAAATTATTGTAATAGTGAGTTGTTGCCGGGCTCTGGTAACGAAAAAGTGGATAAATCATCTTCCTGTGAATTACCAAAATACCCGGGCTTTCTTCGTATCCAATCTTTGTAAAAAAGAAAAAAGGTCAATTTTATACTGTATTTGAGATTATAATTTTAAATGCAGTTGGTTCAAATTTCAACACAATACTACATTTTTACAGTACATTGTTATGATATTAAAAATGTTTTCTTACACGCTACTACTTGCATCTAGCGAACCTAACAATAACAAGTTATGTTGCACCGGTTCTGGCCTCTTTATTTTTCATATTTATGTTCTATTAGTATTTAACCAACGTGGCAAGGACATTTTGACAATACGGATTGAGAGCCTGTAAAAATTTCGTATCTATTCATTTACTACATATTGTTGAAACGATGTCTGTTACACGCCATTGAATTGTCTTTTATTAGTGAAGATTACTTTCTCTAACACATTGTGTAGTCAAAATCCACGTTTTGGGGTGCTTAAAACCGAAAAATTGATGGACGACAAAACGTCTGTTCGGCCGGCCATCTCTCCGGCCGTCTATCCGTCTGTCCTTGCGTCTGTCTGTCCGGCCGTCAGTCTATCCGTCCGTCTGTCCATCCGTCTGTCCGTCCGTCGGTCCGTCCGTTGGTCAATCCGTCCGTTCGTCAGTTCGACCATTAGTCTGACCGTTCGTCTGTATGTTCCTCTGTACGTCTGTCCGTGCGTCGCTCCGTCCGTCCGCCTTCCGTCCGTTCGTACGTCTGTCTGTCCGTCCGTCTGCAGTCAACGCTAGCGCCTAAACCCTTCAGCCGATTTTCTCCAAAACTTATAACCTGCAATATATTTAAATAAACTTGAGGCATTCTGAGTTTAAAAAGGATATTTTAATTTGGGGGGGGGGTACTTTATATGAAGCTTCAAGAACATTTTCAAACTTCTCTCAAAGTAGCTACAGGTATTTTTATAAAACTTTCTACGTCGTGTAGAGAGCTTAAGCTTAGATTAATGATTAAGCTTTGATTTTATTTTCATTGAACTCTCTGAATTTTCCAAAGTCCAATTTTCTCAAGTTAGAAACAGTGCGAGAAGGCATGCGCCGTTGTATTCCTTTTTGTGTTTCTCGTACAGAGCGCGTGTGTGCGCAGGGCGGTGGTGCTGGTGAAGCGCGGCGGGCGCGCGGACGGCGGCCTGGGCGCCTTCCTCGCTCCGTTCAGCGGCGCCGTGTGGCTGAGCTGCGGGGCGCTGCTGCTGCTGCTGGCGCTTGCCCTGTGCGCCGCCGAGCGCCTCGCCCTGCACGCGCTCGCCGCCCACGCCCCCCTGCACGCGCCGCGCGACGCGCTCTTCTGCGCGTGGGGCGCCTTCTTCGCCCAAGGTCTCTCGCTCTCTCTCTCTCTCTCTCTCTCTCTCTCTCTCTCTCTCTCGTTTTCTCACCCGTTCCCTCTCTCTCGTTCCCTGTCTCTCTCGTCCCCTGTCCCTCTCTCGTTCCCTCTCTCTCGTTCCCTCTCTCTCGTTCCCTCTCTCTCGTTCCCTCTCTCTCGTTCCTTCTCCCTCACGTTCCCTCTCATTCCCTCACTCTCGTTCTCTTTCTTGTTATCTCTCTGTCGGTCTCTTTACCTCGTTCTCACTCTCTCTTTCTCTCTATCGTTATATCCCATTGTCTTTCTCTCTCTCTCTCCTTCTATTTCTCCCTCTCTTTCTCCCTCTTTTTCTCCCTCCTTCTCTCTCACTGATCACCATCTCTCTTCTTCGTTCACTCCTGGTACTTACTCTTCCGATCTCTCTCCTCTCATTTTTTACCCTAACGCACTTTCATCATAAGTTGAGAAAGAATTCTAATTTTGTGCAAGATAACGGAGAATTTTCGACCGAAAAACTAATTGTCGAGCCCTTGTAACGAAAAAATGGATAAATTATATGTATAGTAAATTACTTCTTCTAACATGTGGAATCCAGAATCCATGTTTTGTGGGTTCTTGATCCCAAAAATTCGACTGACGGCAAAACGACTATCTGTCAGTGGTCAATACTAGCACCTAGACTGTTCAGAGTTTCTCCAAAACTGATATTCTCCGATTGATCTGAACGACGCTCCAGGCCCATTAACAGCATATCTTGAAGCGTCTTCAGGACCCGTGCTCCGTGCGTGACCAGGGTTGCCATACGACCTGAAACTTGTGTTGCTAAAACAGCACCTCCTTTCTCGCCCATATTTTCACTCTAAATTACGCGAAAAGAACTCCAATTTTCGACAAATAGTTCATGAAATTATTTCAAAATCTATCTTTAAGGAACAGAATTCATTAACTGAAAATGTCTATCTTCATAATTGTAAATGTACTAGCAAGACGCCGAAAAATAATTTGAACTTATGAAATTTTCGGTAAATCAGGGTTTTCAACTAACAAGACCTGCACCATCAACACTCTCTTAAACATCATTCACACTCTCCAACAACAAAATTGATTCAAAAACGATGGAGCCTTTTTTTAACTGCATTCATCCACATTTCGATACCAGGGCCTAGAGATATAGTTTTTCTGTCGAAAACTCGTCGTTTTTTCCGCGAAGCATTACATAACTTTTTTCTGTACGCCTTAGCGAGAAAGAAAGCATTTGGATCTGTTTGTGAGAGTCGATTGGCCCGTTGCGGTGCTCAGGGATGTCGGAGGCACCGCGGGCAGCCGGGTCGCGGCTGGCCTTCTGGCTGGCGTACATGGCCGGCGTCACGCTGACGGCCGCATACTGCGCCAACCTCATGTCGCACCTCACCGTGCGCACGCACGCGCCGCCCTTTCGCACGCTCGCCGCCATGCTGGACGTGCGCCCGCACGTCGCCTTCAGCGTGCCGCAAGCCTCGGGCGTGCTCACCTTCTTCCAGGTGACGGAGTTGCAATTGCTTTTGCGTCTTTGGTTGTTTCCGGACACGTGGTCATTAGTCCCCTTGGTGTATTGCATGTTTGTTTTTTTATCGGGGAAGGTGGCGGAGGTGCTAGCGGGCGTGCTCACCTTCTTGCAGGTGACGAGAGTTGCAATTACTGTTGCTTCATTGGTTGTTTCCGGACACGTGGTCATTAGTCCCCCTTGGTGCAGTGCATGTTTTTTTTATCGCTGAAGGTGGTGGAGATCTTGCAGTGCTGAATGGTGAGATCCGGGGACCGACCTACCCCACCAGGTTTCTCTCACCAGTGGGACACCCTTTCCCTCTAATCGGGACAAGCCCTTAGCTCCCGACTGTTCCCAATGTGTGTGGTAGTGCGGTGTAAGCGACCGTGAGTGTGTTTCGTGGTCCGTGCTCCGATTGTTCAGCTCGTCCGTCGTCACTTTCTTCGAGGTGATGCAGCTCGGGCCAATTGCGTCAGTCGAATGTCGATTTATGTCTGTATTCATTGTTGAAAATTTTTGAATCAATTATTGAACAGACACTTTATTCTTATTAAAATTTACACAAAGTTTCGAATCCTTTGTTCGGGTTCTACTTCTCGAGAATTTTTTCGATATACGTTAAAACATATATTTACACTATTGTTTATAAAAAATTACAAATGAAATTATTATTAGTGATTATTATTGTAGTGATGTAGAAATCACGGAAAACTAACGATCCGGGAAGCTGTCCACTATAATCCTTCACTAGACAGCAGCTAAATTCGACCAATCTACATTACAAATATAATAAATTATTTCAATCTTCATTACAAATATAATAATTTCGACCAATCTACATTACAAATATAATAAATTTGACCAATCTACATTACCACCGTCGACACTCGAACCTTACAACCTTTCAGAGTCACTGCAGTAGCAGCAATTTTTGTCCTCAAGTATTTGGCTGCTTGGGTCGCAGTCTGTCGCTGCTTGGAAGAGACTTTTTGCTTCCGGCGACTCTGATCAGTAATTTCACGTCGATTCTCGACGCAACACGATGCGAATGCCGAAACAGCACCTAACAAACAGGCCACGGACCACGCGCGATCTGTTCTTCCTCTCTGCTGCCCTACACTCACTCCTTAATTACACACACATACTCTTACATGAACTACACTACCACACGTGCCGGGAGTCCCGTCAGGAGCTAAGAGCTTGTCCCGGCTGGGGCGGTGCCCCGATGGTGAGATGTACCAAGTTCGAGAAAATCCCGCTAGCCGACGGTAGGTCGGCACCGGATCTCGCCATCCAGCGGGGAAAGATCACCGCCTCCTCCTGAACAAAAACATGCACTACACCTAAGGAACCCATGACCTTAACAGGTGACGCGCCCGAAATCACTAGTAATCAATCAATCGTTGAGGCAGTACACCTAGATTTTGATTTAGATTTAGATTCATTCAGTCAAAAAACAATAAAAACTGTATGTGATCTACATCATTAATGAACTTAGCACTTGACGAGCCTGGAATCACTAGTAATCAATCAATCAATCAATCAATCATTGAGAAAGTACACCTACGGCACTAATGACCGTAGCAGTTGTCGCGCCTGGAATCACTGGTAATCAATCCATCAATCATTGAGAAAGTACACCTACGGCACTAATGACCATGGCAGATGTCGCGCCTGGAATCACTGGTAATCAATCCATCAATCATTGAGAAAGTACACCTACGGAACTAATGACCTTAGCAGCTGACGCGCCCCAAATCACTAGTAATCCATCAATCAATCATTGAGAAAGTACACCTACGGCACTAATGACCGTAGCAGTAGACGCGCCCCAAAACACTAGTAATCCGCGCGGAATCAATCATTGAGGAAGAGTTGCCCTGCACGTTGGCGTGTCCGCGCGTGTGCGCAGGCGCGGCCGGGGTCGACGATGGACCGCGTGTACCAGCAGCACCTGAAAGGGCGGTGGCTGCCTCCGTCGGTGCAACAGGGCCTGCAGCCGCTGTGCAGCAGCCAGCCGCGCGCCTTCATGGCCAGTCGCCTGCCCACCATGCAGCCCAGGTATTCCCACCAGCCGGTACACCACCAGGAATGTGGCATCGATACTGAAGTGTTCAAAACGTCGATGTTTCTATACAAAATATCGATGTGTTAAACGTCGATGTATTAAAGGCCATGTTTCATCCACCAGAGATGCAACTTCCATGCTTATGTATTCAAAACATCGATGTTTTTATAAAAATATTGATGTTTTGAACATTGATGTATTGAAGTTAATGTTTATACAATAAGTGATACGACTTATTAATTGGATTGTTGGTGAGGTAGATACCTTTTTTTTATTTTGATAAATAATTAGAGATATTGTCAGGTATCAATATTTTGATTCAACTAATGATCATTTCGATCGCGTAGCGATCATCCCGATCGAAATGATCATTAGTTGAATCAAAATATTGATACCTGACAATATCTCTATTTATTTATCAAAAAAGTGATACGACATTTATACTGATGTTTTCAAAATATCTGTGTCTATAAAATATTGATGATCTAAACATGGATGTATAGAAGCCGATATTTCCACCACTACCGATGTGACATCGATACTGGGGTTTTAAAAACATAGATGTTTCTGTAAAAAATATCGATGTTTTAAACATCGCTGTATTGAAGCCTATGTTTCTTGAACGTCGATAATCTGTGCCCGATGTTTTTACATTTTCAAAGTTTTGTTTATGAATGCAAAACTCCTATAACTACAATTATGTAAAAGTTAAATTATGAAATAATAACTCTCTGTGTGTTCAAAGCAAACGAACGCGACTTTTGTCGAGCATCTCTTCGTCACCAGAGATGATACTGATACTTTGTCATTTCTTTCGTATTTCGCGCATAGAGAGACGTTTTTTAACATTGTTTTGTGTTGAATTTTAATTGCAAATTAATATACACGGACTCTGTCGAATTAAATATAATTCCGAACGAATTTACTCACCAAGTTTGAAATAACTAAACAAGCTTTGCAACATCAATGTTTAAAAGAAAGAGTGGTTTTTGGACGATGTATTATTGACATCGATGTTTTCATTTTGAACGTGCATGTTTTCTTGTCCATGTCGCATCAGTGTACATCACTCGCGCTAAAACTTCCTTCCTAGTAATCTTTGTACTCAGTGACCTGTCCCTGCTTAGAGAAAACTGCAGGTGTTCCCGAAACCAAGACCCACAACCTGGTGTCCTATATCATCCTGCGCTTCTGCAAACACTGAAACCATACATGTTCGCAACCTGGTGCTTTACAGGTCAGGTATTCCCGAAATCTGGTTCTCTGCAGTTGCTAAAACCTCATTCCAAATAATCCCGCAAATTGATTCTCTGCAAATTTTGCACATCACTCTATACCTGCTAAAATAGCAGTGCAGTTGTTTTGCAATGTTTCCTTACGTCCTCTGCAACGGGCAGCAAGGACGCAATGTGTTGGGCTGGTTTATTGATTTTATTGTGATCTGATCTGATTTGATTCTGATCTGACTGCTTCATTTTAATGTGATAAAAAATTGCCGGCCAACAATGGGTAGTCCGCCACTTCTACAATATACTTCGATGTCCTTCATTGATCATTATCACTTCGATGTCGATAAGTCCGTTGTCGATAAGTCTATTTGATCAGCTGTAACACTGTCACCCAATCGGAAGATTGGACGTCACCACTGTGGACCACGGTGAAGTACTCCCAATAAATACTTTAAATGGAAGCAAAATCATTCTTCTTCAAGTTGGTAACAAAAAATGCCCTTAACGGCCTAATTTTTTAATGAAATAAGTTTAAATTAGTCCGTGCTCTTTTGGAAAAACTTTCATGGGCATATGTGCTTTTTAAGTTATTGAAGAAGATGTACGGTGATAGTACCTTTATCTTTTATTTAATAAGTAGTCATTTTTTTAGGAATCAGATGTTGCCACCATTGTTTCTCTTGGGGTACGAGATAAAACCACCCAAACTTAAAATTTTGTACCATATACTATTTGACGATAATTCATTTTCATCGTACACAATGTGGTCACAATTCGACGCAGAAAGAAACAAAAGTACGGGCGCCAAAGTCAATCTAATTTCTATTAGGTATTGCCAAGATATGAATATGAAAAATCATGCTAGAGACTAAATGTATTAATAAATATTGTTTTTTCTAGAGCAACTTTTCAGTACTTCTCTGTAATAAATGGTCGAGTATTTGACTAGCGACATACTACCTAAGTTTGTAAATTGTTAACGGAATGTTCAAACACCAGCAAGTTGAGCCAGTTGAGCAAATGCTGAGATGGCCCCTTGTTTTGCCCTGGACATAAATATAGCTTCACTATGCGCACGTTTCGTTCAAACCTCCTTTTGCTTGTAATGGCAGGAGTAGAGGTAAAGAGCGAGTTGCCATTTTGTTAGAAATGCAGAAAATAAAATCTGCAGTTCGCTTACTGTTGTAAAAAACGTTTTCTATAACTCGAGAATGGAAATGTCTAGTTTTTCAAATGTCGCTAATCTCGCACTTTCTTAAATTTTATTTTCATTATTTATTTAAAACTAACATTTACTCATATTTCAACTATTTATAGTTAAAATGATGGGAAGGGATTCTGGGACTCAAGAAAACGTGCACAGATTATCTTCTTCCCCATACGTCAGATGCAGTTTTACTTCCTTTTTTTTTTTTTTTTTTTTTTTTTTTTTTTTTTTTTTTTAATAAGTAAATCTAAACATCTAATCTAAACACCGCATTGAGTGCCCGAGGGTAACTTCAACACCGACAGTAAGTGAGGTGTGTCGTGCTGTGTCGGAGGGAGATGTGGTGTGTCGTGCTGTGGCAGGGAAAAGGTGCCGTGTGCGCTGATGGAAATCCCTTCAGCCTCCATCCCGCAATTCCTGGGCCTGGCTTTCCAACGAGGCAGCGCCTACAGACCACTCGCAGACCAATAGTAAGTATTTTGGGACTCGCTCAAGAAAATTGTTCGCAAACTTTTCCTCATTTTAAAGGCCTTCCCTTGTAACGACCAACACTTACGATGATGTACGTCCAATGTCGACACTTACCACTCATCCATCCACTTTCCCTAGATAAACTAATTATATTAAAAAGGTAGTAAAATTTTATTGATAGTTTCCTAGATCATGACTCTGTTTTTAGAAATCAGAAACGAACGAATTGTACTTTATACCCTTGCTAATTGTATAATACATATGATATAATTGTTTGATACTAATTGTACTTAGTTACGCACGTTTTTGTACCTAAAGCTATGATGGCCACTAACAATTACGATGCGTCGTTTTACTTTAAGCGAGACAAATTTCAAGATTTTCCGAATTCTCTTTTGATTCAGCAATGAATTAGTAAACCATACATTTGGTGCTTTTGGCCTCGGGGAATTTCCAATTCCTCGCGACAGAGGTGCCCAGAATTGGAAATTATGCTCTGGGTAAAAACATGTACGTAACGCTAAAGATACATAAATAAAATTCTGTATTTTAGTTCTATTTTTAAAAGCAACATGATATTAAAGGAAACAACGAGGTTGCGCCCTAAACGGGACAAGCTCTAAGCTCCCGACCGGACTCGCAGTAGGTGTGGCAGTGTAGAGCATGTTAATGTAAGAGGTGAGGATAGAACAAGGAAGAGGAAGGAAAGATCGCGCGCGTTCCGTGGTCCGTTTGTTAGGATACTGCACCGGCATTCGCCATGTTGATTGAAGAAGTCACGAAAAACTACCGATCAGAGCGTCTAGAATCTCCTCCCGAATTCGACCTAGCCTGGCGACCTTCGCTCGGTGAACCGCGTTCTTCTGAGGCCGTTTGAGCCGGCCTGGCCTTATCGTTTAAGAGGGTGGCGTGGGTGGTTGCAGCCTGCAGCGCCTCCGCCAGGCCGGCGTGCATCAATGTGTCCTGTTCCATTACAAGCCGCGCCGAGAGAGTACTAACTTCATGAGGAGTCATGGGAATATAAAATTCGCAGTACACCATGCCCCCACAGACAGGACCAAATTCGATATAGTATGATAAAGGGGCGGGTTAGCATATACCGGAAGAGGTGGCCCAGGGCATTAACTGATGTCGCTGCAGTGTCTCTCACCGGGAGGTCCTGGGGTTCAAGTCATGACGGTGGCAGGATTTTCGACACTTGCCATACAGCTAGGCCGTGTTCTGTCGCTATTTGGAGAATTCTAGTGGCCGGCTGCTGTGATGGGTAGTTTCCCTGGGGGCCTGGCCTAGTCACTCGAGGCAGTCGCTCGTGTGGTTGCAGCCTGCTGCGCCTCCGCCAGGCCGGCGTGCTGCAGCGCGCAGAGTTCCGCTACGCGCCGCGCCGCCTGTCGCCGCCGCCCGAGGCCTTCGAGCAGGTGGCGCTGGCGGTGGTGGCGCCCGTGCTGGGCTGCTGGGCGGCGGGCGTGGCGCTGGCGGCGGCGCTGCTGGTGGGCGAGCGCCTGCGCCCGCCCGCCCCGCCCGCCGCGCCCGCCGCGCTCCCGCGCGCTCCCGCCTCCCATCGGCCACGCTCGTGCGAGGTACAGCTGTTCGTTGCCGTAATGCTGTTCTGTTAAGTCGGCGTAACGCTAGCTGGGGAAGGAATATTACTCCGAACGCCCGACGACCGGGAAGGATTTAACAGTCCATTTAGGACAATCGAAACCAACGAGTTGTATCCAAAGATAGCTCAAAATATTATTCCAACCTAGATCTTTATTATTTACCTGATTTGTACATAAGAAAGAAGTATTACGTAAGTATTGAACGACAAATATTGGCCTTGGTTGGTGAAAAACCTCGGCTGACGCCTCGGTTTACAAACGTACACACTGTCCGATATTTGTTCCATATCGTTCTAATGTCGTTAATACTCTAATAGTCGTGGTGGTGGTACCACGTCGACCGCCACGCCCACCGCGCGTTCGCGCGCTCGCAGCTCCCACCGGCCACGCACGGGCGTGGTACCTTTTCTTCTTATGTGTGTCTTAACGCGACCAAGGGATCAGATCGTTACTCTTAACGGTCGGTGACCATAAAGAATTTAACAGTCCGTTATGAACATCGAAACAAATGAGTCGTAGCTAAAGATGGCGGATCAGTAGAATCTCAAAACAAGATCATTCTTATTTCTATGATTTTGCATATAAGCAAGCGGCATAACGAAAAGCATTGAACGACACATGGCCGATATCACAAATAACGGCCTTGGTTGGTTATAAACCCCAGCTAACGCTTCAGTTTACATACTCGTACCATATCAGATATATACCACGTGGCCGTGCGCATCCTGCTTCCAGCGGCCACACACGTACGATGTACCTATTGTTCTGTTATGTATATCTTAACGTAACCAGGGGATCAGATTGTTACTCTTAACGGTCGGCTACCGTGAAGGTTTTATCAGTCCGTAAAGAATAATGGAAACAGAATTGTAGCCAAAGATGGCGTATGAGTACCATTCAAAAACATGATATTTCTTGTTTGCATGATTTTTCAGATAACGGTGTAACGGAAGAATTTAACGATAAATAATGGTTAATTATACATTGGTATAAGGGTTTTTCACTTATTCTTACAAGGAATTTAAAGAAAAAATTGGAGCAATTTTTTGGGGAAAAAAATTTGCTTGGGCATTCATATAAAATACTCCAAAATTTAAAAAAAATATTTTTCGAAATTGCAGAGCTTCTAGATAGGCCAAAAAATTCTGCAAATAATTTAGGCACTATTTTTGTTCAAAGACGGGCAGACAGACAGACGGATGCTTTCAGAAAAACACTTTTTAGGTATCAAAGCACCCCAAAACACATTTTTATTTGTATTAATTGTATATGTTAAATATCGAACTCAATTTTCCGAAGCATTACATTACTTTCTCTATACTACGAATATTACTCCGCCTATACTTATGTATAAAAGAAAGTAAAAATGTATTTTAGTTAGCCATTAGATGACAGCTGAGAAGAGGATGGGGCAAAAGGATAAAGCTTGCCCAAACTAGAGATTAGAAAACAAACTAGTCTGAGAGAGCCGGTGCCAAGCTCCTCTCGTTTGTTTAGCTAGCGGCTAAACCGTTCAGTCAGTTTCATCTGAAACTGATATTCCTGAATCGATCAGGCTAATATCGCGGCCCGTTGAATTTGAAATCGATATTTTAATTTTGGGGGTTCCCCTGGAACATTTTCAAAATTCCCCCCCCCCCCAAAATGCCTCCATCTTTCTTTTATTAAATATTGTTGTTGAGTAGTGTAAAGGATGATTAAGAGAATGGCAAAAGTCTCATTTTCCTTAAAAACTCTTATTTTTCTAAAAATGCAAAAATGATTTTTTTCCCACTTCTTCCCACAACTACATTTATGAAGATGGAGTTTTTTCTATATGAAATCTTTTCTTTAAAGATAGATTTTGAAATAAGGTCATGTATTATTTTTCGAAAATTTGAGTACTTTTCGCGTAATTTTGCGTCCAAAATACGTGTAAGAGAGTACATGTTGTTTTAGCACCACTAGTTATCTTTCTTAGGAAACTATTTAGTACGAGAATGTCTGTTCTGTCCTTCCCGCTTTGTCCCCTTTGTAGGAGGGTCCCCGTCAGCAGCTGGAGGCGTCAGCGGTCGCCTCCGGCGGCTGGGGCGGCGCGGGGTGCGGCGGACACCCGCGGACGCCGTCGGGCCTGGGCGTGGCGCTGGGCCTGAAGGGCGCCGGGCTGGCCGAGTTGCAGCGCCACCGCAAGGCGTACGACGCCGCCCTCCCTGCGCCCACGCGCCTCCTCTGGGCCGACTAGGGATGGCGGGTTTCACCCGACCATCGATACATCCCAGGTTGGGCAGTATCGAAATACTTGTGTTTGAAAAAGGTGGCTGAGAGCGGAGTTTGGTCGTTCTTCACCAAGGAGGTCCGGATTCGAATCCCATCGATTCTCGGACAATTTTATGTGGAATTCGTTTCAACAAAACGAGTTTACCTGCTTCACACGAGCTATTTCAAACCCTGTGAAGTGTCCTAAACCCTTTCCTAAATCCATTCTAATTCTATCAGCTGGATAGTGACGTGGAAGGCGTGTACGCGGAAATGTTACCTGGCGGACCTCTGGAAAACGACATACCAACGATGACTCATACTTTAATAGTAACGGGTGATTATGCCAATAAAAATGGTAACGGAGGCTTACTCCAAGAGCGCTCAACGTCCAATAAGGGTTAGGAGACGCGTTGCGACGTGATAAAGACGCAACAAATGGGTATGTATTTTAGAATTGTATTTAAAGACATAAAATGGGGGGCCGAGATCGTAAGGGCAGTAGACCAGTTCGAATCCCGTCTTGGGCTTGGTTGTATTTGTGTATGTTTATATGTGTGTGCCGTCATTTCATCCCTCACCATCATCACCACCTCATCGTCCATACCCCCAGAACTAAGAACCTTGGAGGATAAAAATCGGGATTCAGCTAAAATGCCACCCGCACCCCCGCAAGGTACTTGCACCTACTGAAGCAGGATGCACGTGTCAGAGTTAGCCTACATGCAAAAAAAGAAAAACGTAACATGTATTTGAAAAAATAAATACTTAAAACAAATGAAGGGGATGAGGATGATTTTCTGTTTGATTCCGCTGGTGAATTCACTTCATTTAAACAAAAATAAAAGCTCGTTTCGGCTGCATAGTTTGATTTATCTTCATTTTTAAATTATAAATCTAAATAATTTAAATGCTGGATAATTAATCGACAATAAAGAAAATTTATTCGTTATAACACCTGTTTATATTCATCCGAGCTAGTTGAACTATGGTTCTCCTTTGCAGGTTTTATACACTCTTTCTAGGTTCCGACGTTTCAGCCCCCTTTTTGTGACCTTCCTTTCGCAGGAAGGTCGCAGGTGCCTAGGACGAGGCGTCTATCGGACAGCAAAGTACTTGACAACAAGTGCCGTCCTTTTTTTAACTAAGGCCCAGCAATAGAAAAAATCTGAAAAAATTCACAAGTGTTCGTAAAGAAAGTTTAAATAAGGTATGTGAAAGTAATATGGTCACGTTAAGCGCTACATTGGCCCAAATTCACAGCATCGCGATGAAATTTAACATTGTTGCTTCAAATTTAAATAACTATATCACAAAAATGTGATTCCTGAATATTTTGTTGTTGTTTTACAAAAACATTGTAGATGAAGGTAATATGCCCACATGTAGGTTTTATGTCCATTGCCAGATTAACTGGTTTCTTGTAGCATCACCATGGAATTGGGACTAATACATATTACACTCATAAACATAATACATATACTAATACATAATACTCTCTTACAGTCTAATTTTACAAAAATATGGCCTGGCGTGATTTCAGTAACGCAAGGATTGGTGGGTTATTCATAACAAATTCAGTATTTTCTACAATGAGACTTTATTGTACAAAGTTGAAAACATCAGTAACTGCTTGAAAAGTTACAAAAAAATAGTTTAACCAGTTTCACATTGAAGTCAATGAAAGTTTCTTAAGTCTTGAAAACTTTGTCCTTCACAATTGATCATATTGACAGCATAAACATATTGTAAAATCTTCCCCACGTTGGTAAAATATTGAGCACATTAAACGGAGTTAATTTTTTTAGGCGATTATGTTGCTCATTAAATGCGCTAAACGTTGATGAATAGTATCAAAATACTAAATCCTCCTTCAAGTGTAACTAGTGATAAAATTACCTGGATAGAAGTTATTAGGATAGAACGCCTTCAGCACGTCCTTGACGACAAAGGCTACAGAGTGCGAACGCGATAATCAACAAGTCTGGTAGGGGCTTCTTACGCACACTTCTTACGCTCTTCCAGACAGCATGCTAGTACGAATACTATCTATGGTAAACATTTTCAGCTATCACCATAGCCGCTACTTGGCCATATTACCTGCACTGGCCATACTTGCATCATTTACCTTATTTTTTTTATGCCTGGTCAGGTGTTTTAAAGCCTGTTTTACACGATCATTTTTTCGCCGGTACAGAAAAGATACAGGCCAAACTGGATGTAATTTGTACGGAAAAATGACGCATGCTTAATTTTTCAGTAAAGATTTCATCCAGTTTGACTACCGCGCTCCTGGCGGCAGTTTCTGTAGTTTGTTATGCGTGTGGAGCGCTATGATCATTTTGCAGTTGCCTGAGAGCGTTCTGATGTGTTGAATTGCAATGTGAAGTGGTTATGTAAAGAGAAATAAATTATGCACTGTAGTCTAATATTGTCGCATCCGAGCTCAGTCCTAACCTAACCTAACCTAACCTAACTTAATTTGTTACCACAGATGCGATGTTCAAATTTTGAACTTCAGCGCTACATGCGGCGTCCGGAGGATGTATTTTCTTCATGATTACATACAAAGACAGAAATGACCGTGTAAAACACTCATCCAGTTTCGGCACCGAAACATACTGCGTAGAAACGAACGACCTTTTTTCTTTCATTTACTGTACAGAAAAATGATGAAAAAAGGATGCAAAAATTACCGTGTAAAACAGGCTTAAGACAGCAAAACAGTTTTTGTAAATTTGGATCCAATCTCTCCCCCTTCATTTTCCCACATATTTCCCACTTATCCTTCACCTGTGACCGAATTTTCTTCTCATAAACTGCCAAAAATTGTCGTCTTTCCATAGCGTATGATATACTTATACACAGAACTATAAAACTTTAAAAAACGTGATAATTTGTAACTACCTTCCAAAGTCAAAATAATACTAGGAACTACAATAATGTATACAAAAGTATAATAATCTCTAACATAAATGCATAGAACTGTTGCAGACATTTTCAAAGCATGTTTAAAGTCAAGGTCATTTAAAGGCAAGAAAGTTGTAAAAGTTTTTTTTTAACTGCAGCCCAGAAGTCAAAATCTTAAATTTATCCACAACAATTTGTATTTTGAACGGAACTTTTGAGACTTTTTCGAGCCTGTTTCGGAGTTTTAAGAGAGTATAATTTTGTTATTTTTTGCGTTTGAATTTAGCGCTGATAAAATATCAACAAATGTTTTTCTGATAGAATGTATTCTTTTCTTATTTATTTATCTCTTTCTTATAATTTTTTCAATAAGATAAAATATATTTACGAAAAAACAAAAACAAAAAACACGTGTTTGGCTGTAGAGTGGTGTGGGTGGTGGGGTGGGGCTAGGAAATCTTTCATATACATTATTTTTATGTTAGAGTTATATTGTAACTACTCATATGTCATTTGGTGAGGGGAACTTTTTACCACCTTATCCGAGGGTACCCTTTACAGGATTTTTCCCAACCTTGGATACGTCGATATTTCGATACACTACAAAAAGGTTTTCGAAGTGTAAATAATCATGAACGAATGGAATGAATCAAAAACTTGTAAATACTTAGATGTGCGATTGTTTATTTGGCATTCAACTGTCTAATATGAACTTCTACATACGCGCCACGTTTTCTTTATATACATATTCATAAAAGTAATTTGGAAAGAGATTTTTCTTTCTTTTTTTTTCGTATAATACAAAAGAAATAAGTGCACATGTTTGTTCTGTATCTGTAGGAAATATTTATTGATTTAGTAAAAAAATAAGAATAATTTAGATCCTTTTATGACATTTGTGGATTGCACGAGCGACTTTCGCCCTTTGAGCTGTTAAGATGGTTAATATGCTCGCTTTCCACGGCACAACCCCGGGTTCGATTCTCGACCGAGGCAAGTTATAACGGTTTTTTTTCCTTTCAAATGTCCCAGTATCTATTGCTGTATGATGATGAGAAAGTTCATCCTAAGGTTATGAAGGCCAGTATATACGGCGGAGGGATATCTTTGTGCTAACCACACGAACCCCTTATCCCATGGCTGAGAGGCTGGGTCACCGCTGGTCGGCCAAGGCCCGATTTTTGTTGAACTCTCTGAATGCTCGAAAATGTCGAAAGTTTAATATTTTTTCTACTCCATTGTATAATTCTCTTATTAGATGGCTCTAGCTTTTTGTGTAATGATAGTCGTCATCATACAGCTTTATTGCAATGCGTGTATTTGTCCTATCACAAAGAAGTTAATAGTTGAGATGTAATCAACCATGATCATCGTTCTATTAAATGTTTCATTGGATTATGTACATTCGATCATTACATCGTTTCATATAATACTATTTTCAGCGACTTCCTACAAGTACAATACTGAAAGATAGAGATGTTTTCTTTTTTTTATTCTCCAATATTATATCTTTAAATGAGATAATGTACATTTGTTTCAAATTGTGAATTGTTTTTGCGCAATATTGTGTGAAATAACGGTTTTAAAAGAATGCTTTTCTAAAAAAACAGCTCCATTTTGTTTTTATGGGCGATTGTACCTCTTTCAGTCCTTATAATATATAAAAATGGTATATGTTCGATTTTCGTTGTATTCCCTTAATTTTCGAAAATTACAAAAGTTACAAAAATACGAGAAAGTATACGTCACGAATTTCTTAAATGTGTTATAACTCTCTTTCCATTTGACACATATAATGTACATGTCTCTATTTTATGGAAAAGTTTTTGTTAGTGTTTCGTAATTTATTTTTCAAAAGCAAAGTGTTTGATTTTTGTTTAGATGATATACTATTTAATTGTTAAAATTGTATTAAAGATTTTTGCCTGAAATGTGGTACAAATAACTAAAAACTGTTGTGTTAATATGATTCTAATAAATGACTTATTTCATCAAACAATATTGTCTTTAATTATTGGGAATGTAAACATTGTAAAAGAATATTAAAAAATTCTTAAATTAGTATTTGAAGCGCAC